ATATATATATATATATATATATATATATATATATATACTTCGAGAAGTAGAAAGAATTACAACCCCCCATTCCACTTGAATCCTAGGAATTCGTTGATAGTTGGAATAAATTCATAGACCGGATCTGCTTATATGTTTTAAAGTCTTTCTATATGTCCCTTTCCTATTCCTTCTATGTCGTAGGGTTAAAACCGTGAAAGATTTGTTATTTTCCCGATGTTTTCTAACGTTTTCAGTAAAACCTTCTTGTAGAATTATTTTAACAATGTTTTCGGTTATATTGGTAGATACTTTTCGTACCCTTCTTTTTTTATCCATGTCGGCATTTTTTATACAAGTTATTCTATTGGCAATAGTGTCCCTACCCATGACGAACTATAATTATTAGTATCTTCTGACTTTGATATGATCAACGTGTTCCTTATTTCTTTATTTCTTTCTTTTTTATGAAATGGAAATGAAAGGCATATGCGTGAGACACAGTCCGCTAATTAATTGATCCATTTTAGATACTATACCATTGTCTCATCTACTATCATTAGAATACCTCGGGAGCTAATGTATAGTAGCATTAGAATACTTCGGGAGCTAATGTATAGTAGCATAAGAATACTTTGGGAGCTAACGAGACTACCTTAGTTCAATTCAAATGTCTCAATTCCCCAGCGATCGAACCAAAGGCTCGAGTTCCTTTTGGATTTTCCTCTTGATTAATAACAATTGCTGCATTGATGAATATATATATATATATACCTCGAGAAGTAGAAAGAATTACAACCCCCATTCCACTTGAAATCCTAGGAATTCGTTGATAGTTGGAATAGATTCGTAGACTGGATCTGCTTATATGTTTTAAAGTCTTTCTATATATCCCTTTCCTATTCCTTCTATATCGCAGGGTTAAAACAGTGAAAGATTTGTTGTTTTCTCGATGTTTCCTAACGTTTTCAGTAAAACCTTCTTGTAGAATTATTTTAACAATGTTTTCGGTTATGTTGGTAGATACTTTTCGAACCCTTCTTTTTTTATCCATATCGGCATTTTTTATACAAGTGATTCTATTAGCAATAGTGTCCCTACCCATGACGAACTATAATTATTAGTATCTCTTGACTTTGATATGATCAACATGTTCCTTATTTCTTTATTTCTTTCTTTTTTATGAAATGAACATGAAAGGTATATGTGTGAGACACAATCAGCTAATTAATTAATCTATTTTAGATACTATACCATTGTCTCATCTACTATCATTAGAATACCTCGGGAGCTAATGTATAGTAGCATTAGAATACTTCGGGAGCTAATGTATAGTAGCATAAGAATACTTTGGGAGCTAATGAGACTACCTTAGTTCAATTCAAATGTCTCAATTCGCCAGCGATCAAACCAAAGGCTCGAGTTCCTTTTGGATTTTCCTTTTGATCAATAACAATTGCTGAATTGATGAATATAGATATATATATATATATATATATATATATATATATGTAGTCAGTTCTTCATTTAAACAATGAATCCCAATAATTTTAGACTTGGAAAGATTGATCTTTTCCCCTAAGATAAGTTTGCATTTGAGAAACAACCAAATATAGTAAACTTGTTATAAGGAGGCTGAGGTGAGAAGCAAGGTATCGCCTGCTTACTGTAAATGTGAAATAGGACTCTCACAACCTTGAATCTAGAGGCCTTCAATAAAATTTAACCTTATCGCCAATCTCATCATTAGGCTAAAAGATTGCCCCACCAAGGTAATAAGGAATGGGGACAGATGATCCCTATGTCTTAAGCCTCTGGTTGCTTGAAAGGAACCACAAGCCTTGCCATTGATGGGAATGAATAGATGAGCAGATGAAAGGCAGCCTTTGATCCATCTCCTCCAGGTCAACCCGAAGCCCATGACCCTTAAAATGTCATCTAGGAAAACCCACCCCACCCTATCATAAGGTTTTTCGAAATCTAATTTGCACAAGATGCCTTTGGAAGCCTCAGCTTTGGTGGAATGAATTACTTCTTGAGCCACTAAAATTCCATTGGTAATTTGTCTGCCTTTGATAGACGCATATTGAGTTTGCTTCGCAACACTACCGACATCCTCTTTAGAATAAAAAATAATGGGCAACCTGTTCCTAGGGATAGTCCTACTCACAACATTGCATCCCCACTCTTTGAAAGCCCATTCTTGAAACTGGCTGACATCAAGAATTGGAGGGTGGAATAGATCCCACCATGGCCAGTTTCAATTTGGCAGCCCAATGAACCGAAGCTGCAAGGGCAATAGAGATAACTTTGGGATGCTTAGCTTCCTCCTACGATACTTGCCCCCATTGCCGAGAAACTTGAGGGCCAAACCTCCATGCCTTACTCATTCTGACCTCCATTATCCTTACATACATGAAGGGCTGAACTCGATCCTTACCATTCCTTCTCAAAGTAAAGCTCCGAATGTCCCCACCGAAGCGAGGGAGAGAGAAGATGCGACCTAGCTCCAAGATCCAAGAGCTATGTACCTCATCTCTCTCTCTCTCGCAATCTCTCTCTGATATACTTCCCTTCCATTTCTCTATCAGTCTAGCTAGAAGCAATTAACAATCCTCACCCACACTTATACTATTCCCACCCAAAATGTGTGGAAATACTTGTTTTTCAGTGCATATAACCAAATGTGGGGGAGAAGTAAATAGTGCCTAATAACTTGTTTATCAATGAATACGGTATACTGCGCATGTGTTATAGGGTACAAAAGAAGAGCATTCTCCATCCATTTTCATTATTCGGCAGCGGTGGAGATTTAAGTATCCACAATCACGAGACACACCACTATCTAGTATCGTAACATATAGTAAAATGACGCATCTCGTATAACAGTCATCCTGGTATCCATTCTTATTGCTGACACCCCCAATTAACACCTTCAAAATGTCACTCCCCGATTTATTGAAAAAAAAAGTAGGGGCCTGTCTTCTCCACTAAATTACCTAAAAAATATATATTAAAAAAGCGTTTAAATAGGCCATCAACCTTTTTCTAAAAAAGTAACTTGAACTTAAAAATATTATTGGATAAGGTTGCTTTGATGCTAAAAAAATCCTCAAATCAATCATCTCAACATTGAAAATACCAATTTTTGCCCAAGGCGCAATAGCAATGCCTTTTTATGAAACTTGAAGTGGAAATTGATACAAATACGTGCCACAGGTAGACAAACAGTTAGTATGAGGCTGGTCATTCACAAGTCCAAAACTGTAATCTCATCATATATAAAAAGTAACACGATACTACTATTTTAAGGCATCTCAGTGAAAGGTTATTTAGTTTCACTAGATTAGAAATGTTGGAAATTTTAATCGAATTCAAGTCTAAGTTATGTAATTTCCATAAAGGATGTGAGATAATTTAGTTAATGCAAGCTAGCATAGAGAAACTGTTACAATTTTACAATCCGTATTTCTTTTTATCTATAAGCGAAATAATGTAATAAAAATTACAAATGTTACAGAGGATACGGCCCAGGGCCATAGCTAAGAGACCAAGTACAAAAATACATATACAAGGATTAAAAAAGCCTCACCTTTCCATGGAAAACCATTATGAAAATAATTCAGTTAAATAATTTAGACATAGTGGGAGACAATAATACAAAGGTCTGAGGCTAGCACTAGGATCTGGGTTGCATCTGGCAAAGAGAGAAATCTAACCACTCACAGTTTGGTTTTTTTCCTCGAATTCTGCTCCCAAGTTTCCACTTGCTTAATGGCATTAGCTTTCCTCCTCAGGAGTAACTGCAAGGCCGGGGGCTCAAAGGGAGGAGGAAGAATGCATGGCTCTGAATCACTTGGAACCTTTACAAATGACTCCTTCATGAACTTCTCATAATTTCCTTTTGCTGGGCAAGCCATGGACTCTGAGCAATATTGCACAGCTTTTTCAGGCACCGTTGGCTTGTATCTCAAGAGCTTTGAATACTCTGATAACAAGTGAAACATGTAATCATAGACATAAGCCATCTTCACATCCTCTAGTATGAAGCTGCTTGCTGTCTTCCCAATAGCTTGCGCCTGCAGCATAAAGAGTAAACAAAAATCATAAGACAGCAATCTCTCTCTCTCTCTCTCAGACTGACACACATTTACATGCACAAGTGCAAAGTAAAATTGTTGACCGTGGATTTCAGAAACTAATAAAAGAGAGGACCACTTGTGAAGACAATTTTCCAATGTGTAGCTTCTGGAAATTTGGCAGTCATAGAAAATACACAAAACCTACAGAAACTTTGACTTTTGGTGTTTGATTGAGAGAGAGAGAACACTCGGAATATCATATTACCAGCTGTGGCAATTAGAGAGTGGCCAACTTCGAGATTTATGGTGGCCTAGAACAACGGGGAAGTGGGATTAGGAATGTTTTGAGTTTCACGGCTTCTGTTGTATTTGCAAAAAAAATTATGGCCAAGGGGTTCTTGTCCTTTGCTAGGATTGCAGATGACAAAGAAAAAATAAAAAATAGTAACGTGGGGTAGGACGAAGGGACACGACCAAGGGGAGTAAAGGGTGAG